TGACACTGTACTGCCCAGGTCTCTCTTGCTTTTTTGATTATTCCTTGTTAGTCTACTATGCTGATAACTTTCCCCATGTGCCCCATGAACACTAGTATTTCCCACCATTACATCCACGCTTTCATCTGTCAATGCATTCAATGAACAATCACACCTACTTCATTCCAGGAGGACAACTTTGTCAGATCCCCATTTGTCAATGGTTTTGCATGTGAACCAATGCTCCAAATCACTTGCATCAAAGAAACAAACGCTGCCTTGCCACGGTGGCTCACACCTGTAATCCCAGCACTTAAGGAGGCTGAGGTGAGTGGATCACTTGAGGTAAGGAGTTCGAGACCAGTCAGACCAACATGGCGAAATCCCATCTCTACTAAAAATACAAAAATTAGCTGAGAGTGGGGGCGGATGCCTGTAATCCCAGCTACTGGGTAGGAGAATCACTTGAACTTAGGAGGTGGACATTGCAGTGAACTAAGATCACACCACTGCACTCCAGCCTGTGTGACAAGAGCAAAACTCTGTCTCAAAAAAAAAAAAAAAAAAAAAAAGATAAAAGAAAGAAACAAATGCTTGCAATTTTGGCATGATACATAATTTCACTTTGCAACTAATTCAAACTACATTATGATCAGCAAGCCCCTAAGCCAATCAGGAGGATGGGAATCAGAAGTAAGCTTGAGAAATTAATTTTTTAAAGTGATAACTTATTAATAATTATTTTCATGTCATGATAATTTCTTCTCTACATAACCCTGTAATTTCAAACGCTCAGAAAATGAACTCTCAGGTAATAGGGACTCCATTTTATGTTATTAGCTCCCAAATCTCTATCCCAGATTACTCTCTCCTGAGCCAGAAATAAACTTTCAACTACATACCAGACATTCCCCCATGCCCACTCTGGCAGTGCCTACTCATCATTCCAATTTCAGCTCAAACATCACCTAGCGCCTCCCCTTAAGGATCCATCCACTTATCTATTAAATGAATCTGACACTCAGTGGTGTACCCTTGCATTTAAGATAAAGCCAAAGACCTTCCTAACTAAAAAGATTATTTAAAATGCAAGTGGGGCTGACAACAGTGGCTCGTGCTTGTAATCTGGCACTTTGGGAGGCTGAAGTGGGAGGATGGTTTGAGTCCAGGAGTTTGAGACCCGTCTGAGCAACACAGTGAGAGCCCATCTCTACAAGAATTTAAAAATTAGCCAGGCGTGGTGGCATGTTCCTGTGTTCCCAGCTACTTGGAAGACTTAGGGTGGGAGGATTGCTTGGGCCCAGGAGACTGAAGCTGTAGTGAGTGAGCCGTAATAGTGCCACTGCACTCCTGTCTGGGTGACAGAGATCATGTCTCAATAGATAAATAAATAATATAAAGTAAAATAAAATGTAAGCGGTGGGTATATACATAAGACAGAAAAATAAATAAAAAATAAAATGTAAGTGGGACTGGGACTGAAGAGAGGCGAAACAGAATGAGGGAACAGAAGAGGGGACCAGCATAAAATGCAACAGGGAGTGGTAGGATTTGTTAAAATCTCAAAAGAATGGATAAAAAGGAGTTGGCCAGGTGACAAAAATCTTTGACATAACTTTTTTTGATAGGGAAAAACAAGAAAGGGTGCTACAGATATTAACAGAAATAAGAACGCAACCAAATTTGTGCCTTTGTTTACCTTGCTGGGCATTGAGCGGCAGGGAGGGTTATTGATAAGGTTAAAATGCTAGGCAGATGCTAGAGTTTCAGGAGCAAAAATTACTATAGGTTTGTATTTTTTCTCTCCTTCTATGCTTGAAAATTAACTGCTTATTAAATAAATAACGGCTTATTAAAAACCACTTTCCACTTTACATCTAGATTTAAATGACACATTTTACTAAATGACTCAGAAACAAGACAGGAACAAGGAAATAATTTAAAGCTACATTTTAACTGCATTTAGTCTTACAGTAAGAAAACAACTCAATAGTATCATCACGATCATGTAAAAGTTTTTAAAACCTCTTCTACTAAGGAGGGAACTCTGTAAAGAAAAAATGTGCATTGTTCCTTTCCCTTGAGAAATGAAAGAACTTTCACATTTATCCTCATTTTGTCTCACATACTGAGAGAAGGTTACAGGTTAGGGAAACAGGGAAACGAAAAATTAAGTGATTTCCTTCATTCTAAGATGCATGTTTTTGACCCTGACTTTTTAAAAAATCAAGGTGGATCTCACATTACTGATTTTAAAGCCATCTTTTCTAGGGGAGGGCCACACTGAGTGTATCTTACAACTATGGGTATCCTCTGAATTCAAAAAATATGGTAAAGGATTTTGCCCAAATTAATAAGCAAGAAAGTGGCAGAACTGGGTAAAAACAACAACAACAACAAAAAATCTCTGTTAAGCTATTAATATATACAAACAGGAATATAGCAGCCTGTTTGGCTCCTCTCTTATTAAATATACAGGGCCTACCTTTTACTAGGCTCTTCCTGAAAGAAACACAGAGCCATACATAACATCTTTTCTGCCTTCAAGAAGTATATAATGGTGCCTACATAATAGAGATGCCTATACAAATATCTATAAAACAAAAAAGTCTGGGATCAATATCAGAAGAATGACACAGAGTGAGAAACATAAATTCAAAAAAGGAGTAGTCACTTTCAGCCAGGATACTGTGAAAATCTTCACACAGTAAGAGCTTAATATATGTTGACTGTGAAGGCATTATGGAAAACTCAGATAAGACTTTGAAGGACTGATGGATTTTCCACAGGGAGAGATTGTGCCAGAAAGCACTCTAAGAATAGAGAGTAGCAGGGCCCAGGAAAAAAAAACACCGAAATCAGCCACGGGGTCTCAAATGGCAGAAGGAAGGTGGGGAATAGTGGGAAAGAAGGCTAGAAATGTAGATAGGGGCTAAAATACAGAGTTCACTGAAGGTCAAACAAAAAATTGTGAGCAAACAGGAGTAGCCTTTTGACATTCATGCTTCAGGAAGACTAAACTGACAGTAAACTACACTGGCTGAACTGGAGTGGGGAGAAGTACTGCTGCAGACAACACAGTGTCAAGAATTCCATTCCTGAACTAGGTCGTATCAGCAGCAATGACAAGAAAGAAGTGTCTTCCCTTCAAACTGCGTGGGGACTGCTTTTGGATAAGAGCAAATTCCAAGAGAACAGAGCATTAACTTGTTAGGATTTGTAGCCCCACTACTCCCTGCACAATACTTTATTTACCCACAGTAGAGCCTCAAATAAAAAACTGAAAAATGGCAATCAGCAAAGTCTGATTTGAATCTTCACCACTAATGAGATAGCCAAAAGGCCATAGTCACAAGCTTCTATTTCTCAAACCCAGTCATATTACAGTTAATGTGGCATTCCTCTCCAATCTTGTTTTTACAGACTAAATCAAATTTTGCCAGAAGGCTTTAGAATTCTCCTTCCTTCGTCCAAATACACCACAGCATTTTTCTTTTAAAGTTTATAAATCCAATTTCAACACACACACACACACACACACACCAGAAAACCTTGCTGAAAACTCATTTATCTAGCAGAAAGTTTTTCTTTCAGGCAGCAATCAACATGCCTTTTTTTTTTTTTGAGACGGAGTCTCTGTGTCGCCCAGCCTGGAGTGCAGTGGCGCGATCTCGGCTCACTGCAACCTCCACCTCCCGGGCTCAAGTGATCCTCCTGCCTCAGCCTCCCAAGTGGCTGGTATTACAGGGGCCCGCCACCACGCCCGGCTAACTTTTGTACTTTTAGTAGAGACGAGGTTTCACCATGTTGGCCAAGCAGGTCTCGAACTCCTGACCTCACCTCAGGTGATCCCCCACCTCGGCCTCCAAAAGTGCTAGGATTACAGGCGTGAGCCACCGCGTCCGGCCAACATGCTCATTTAGTTACTTATAGAGCCTGCCACATCATTAGTTCAACTACAAACTGCTGCTTACATTACCAAAGTTGTGCAAAGGCTCCAAAGTTGTGCAAGAGTAACCACTGAAATCAGACTCTGGTATATTAATAGTTGCAACATCTAAACAATCTTTATGTTTATTATTAGATTCAAAGTAATGCCAAATCACAGGTATTAAAAATATCTACGAAGAGTTTGTTTACGTTTCTGTGGAATACACTAGGATGTCATTTTAAGTGAGAATAACTGAATTTCTTTCTGCTTCAAATGGGCATGAGCTCACCTGAAAATTAGCAGTTGACACCGAACTTGACATATCTAAAACATCAGCGTCCCCAACAGACATACGTAAGTACACACCCAGAGCACTGAACGACTTTACATTACTATTAAATAACCCCAGTTCACACGTGGCAAAAGTGCACAGAACTCGTTCATGCTTTCCTAACCCCGAAAGGGATTCTTCAGCCGTCAAGTAATGAGACGTGACTTATTCCGCCTTGAGAGTTAAAGGTGTTAAAAAAGCACATACATGTATATATTATATATATTTTAAAGCTTTCCTTTTCTCCTTCTCAGCTGCCTGTCCCACACCAAAAAGCGCCTTGCCCAGGCCTTGACAGATGCGTGCAGGTGGAGGAAGGTTGTTACTGGTCAGGAACTAAGACCCGGGTCCCAACACCTTCTGCTCGCCTAGGATTCCCTTTTTCTTTCTTCTGGAGCCGCGAAGAGACCTAACGCGAGGGGCCCTGGGGGTGGGGTGCAGTCATGTGAGTCGGGCCCCGGCGGCCCTGCGCTAGGCCTCCCCTCCTGTCACACACTTCCTGAATCGAGTGTCGCAAACGGCTGCCGCGGCCCTCGGCTGCAAGACCGGCCCGGTCGGGGGCCGCAGACCGGGCCTGGCCAGGCCGCGGCCGCTCGCAGTGCCCACGTCACCAGCTCCAGCACTGCGGAAATGGAGCGGCGCGGCCGGGAGGGAGGCGCCGGGTGGAGTCCGCGTCCCCGCCACCGCCAGACGCCGTTTGCCTCTCAGTCCGGGTCCGGAGGCCGCCGACACTCGCCCGACCGCGCCCGGGGCCCTCACCTGTGTCGCCGATTATGATGTACTTGAAGAGATAGGCGTACGCCATGGCCGCGGCCGCTCAGTGCCAGGGCACACGGCTCCTCCTCCCGCTACTGCTCCTCCTCCGCGCCCCTAACCCCGGCGCCGCTCAGCCTCGAAACGCCAGGCCCCGCCCGCCGCCGCCGCCGCTGCTGTCAGCCGCCGGGAGTGAGGGGCTGTGAGGAAGCCGGACGAACTGACACCCGCAGAGCCGAAGGAGACAGCGCCCGACCGAGCCCAGCCGAACAATAACAGCCACCGCGGCACCTCCGCCCCGCCTCCGCGTCGACCCGGAAGTGCTGCGGCCGCCGGCGGCGCCGAAGGAAGGGGGAGGAGCCCCGCACGCTGGCCGCGCCCCGGCGGCCGCAGCACCGCCCCGCCCCGCCCCGAGCAGGAGTTCCCCGGTCCGCTCTGTCCCTAGTCAAGGCGAGTCCGGGCTCTGGTCTTTCCGCGACGTTTGAGCGGGCGAGCCCGGCGGCCAGGAGACGCCAGGAACGGGACTGGTGGGGATGCAGAGGCTAGGTTCTGTCGCCTTCCGCCCTGCGGTGGGGGCGCGGGGCACGTGGGGGGACGGCAGAGGCGGTGTTCGGTGCAGGGCCCCGCCCTGGGCTGCTGAAAATGTGTGTGAAAATGTGGGAGGCACACGGCGAGGGGGTGGGGGTGGGGTGTTATTTCTGTGTTTGGCATCGGGGCTTGAAGGTGAAAAATGGCAGTATTTATAAATGGGAAACCGTAAATCTGGGACTGCGAAGTAAATCATGGATGCGCATACGGTGGAGTACTACGTTGCTCTCACCTTAGGTCAAGAGTTCGAGACCAACTTGGCCAACATGGCGAAACCGCGTCTCTTCTAAAAATACAAAAAGTAGCCAGGCGTGGTGGCGCTCGCCTGTAATCCCAGCTACTCGGGAGCCTGAGGCAGGAGAATCACTTGAACCCGGGAGGTGGAGGTTGTAGTGAGCCGAGATTGCACCACTGCACTCCAGCCTGGGCGACAGAGCGGGACTCTGTCTCAAAATAATAATAGTAAATAAAAATGAATAAAGCCTCTGGATCTGTCCTGGTTTTGAGGGCTGCTCAAAAAAAAAAAAAAAAAAAAAAAGCCTGATTTAGGTTAAGCAAAACCGAGACAGTCTGTATATGTGTGTGTGTATAACATGCACCATATGTAATATATGAATTGTATGCAATTTTTATGTGTAACAAATAGTGGGAAAACATTTACATTCCTATATATGCATAATCAATCTGAAAGGAAAGGTAACTGGTATTAAGAGAAAGGAGGGAATGGAATTGGGGGGAAAAATGTACTTTTCCCTGAATTTTTTTGTGCAGTTTGATGCTTTTTGCAGTTTTCATGAGTTACCTATTAAGAAATACTGTTAAAGGAAAAAACAAAATGACTATGCATTCGAGTGATAGTTATTGAATACTATGTTTCGTGTACTGCCAGGCATAGCAACTAGCGGCCCTGCATTTCTATGTTCTGTTTTTCTACTTTCCTTTTTAAATCATCCAGCCCAAAATGTCACCACTCTGTTCAAAAAGAGCACAGGTTATGGAAGAGGAGGTGGAGACTAGAGTGTCAGGAAAGATTACTTAGAGATTATGATTTCTGAGCCAGGAATATGAATGATGTGTAGAGTTTCTCAAAAGAACAGCAGTTTGGGGAAGGGAACCAAAGTTTATGGACGAGGAACAGAATGTGCAAAATTCCCAGATCTGTTGAGAGAATTTGAAGTTGCAGAAGGAATCTAATTGACTAACTCATATCCTCATAACCCATAACCTCATATGGAAGGAGAATCATTGCTGGGGAAAAGTGATTGGGATTTAGTGGCCCTGGTTCCTTTTGCCTAATACTCTTCTCTTTGGGGCCTCTCATTATATAATTAGTACTGACACCATCATGCTGGGTAGATGTGGAGAGTTGCTATGTGCTTTGGTTGGCCTTGCCAAATATGAACTCACAAGGTTTTTCTGGAATATTTGGAAGGCATTTTACTAAAGGGTGAGGAGGGATGGCATGGAAGAATTTGACATGAAAAGCTACCTGGAATCGCAAAATTTGGTTCATTCACCTTTAGTTTGAGGAAGGGGAGGTCCCTGCCCAAGGCCTCCAGGTTTCAGATGTCATTTTGTCCCTCCCACTTGAGTGCCTTCACCCACGTCTTCCTGGGTGATAGAGGAGAAACTCAAGTCTTCACTCTCACAAGACAGAGGGACATGGCCTTCCTTCACCAACAGCCTCAGCTGGACAACGCTGTCAGGATGTCACACAAATGCCTGGCATCCTAGGAGTCAGGAGTATTCTTGCATTGTTAGAGGAGGAGAGTACCTGGAGAGGTCTCTTGTGCCAGGTTATGCAGGGCCTTGTATGTTATGTCACCATGCATTTAGAACTTTACCCAGTAGACACAAGGGAAATTGTGACAGGAAACAGGGTCAGAACTGGGTATGTAGCAGAAATCATAGAAATGGATATAAAGCTATAGAGGTAATATGTTATAAGGAAAATAACTTAGGAAACCCGGCTTCTGTTCTTGGCTGTACCTGTAACTGATTGGATTAATGTGAGGAATCGTTTAGCCTCTTAAAGCTTCAGAGCACAGGTTGCGACAGTTTGTGCCTGCAGTCCCAGCTACTTGGGAGGCTGCAGAGGGAGGATAGCTTGGGAGTCGAGGCTGCAGTGAGCTAGGATGGTGCCGCTGCACTCCAGCTTGGGCTACAGGTTGAGACCCTGTGTCTTAATGAATAAAATAATTATTTAAAAAATAATTTTAAAAAACTTATGAGTGGTTCAGTGCACTTGTCTATAAAGGAGTTAAGTGTTTCTTAAAAGGGCTATTCCAAGCATGAAGTCTTAATTTTCTGCTTAACCAGCCTCCAAATCTAAAGCCATCTGTAAAAAAGGTAGTAATCCTCTTGTGAAAATGCAAGGGCCATAGATGTCAAATGCATATTGTTCTGATTGATTGATTGAGAGAAGGTCTCGCTGTGTCATCTAGGCTGGAGTACAGTGACCCAATCATGGCTTACTGCCGTCTTGACCTCCTGGGCTCAGGTGATTGTCCTGCCTCAGCCTCTTGAGTAGGTGGGACCACAGGCGCATGCCACCACGCCCCGATCATTTATAATAATTATTTTTTGGAGAGATGGAGACTCCCTGTGTTACCCAGGCTGGTCTTGAACTACTGGCCTCAAGCAAGTCTCCCACCTGAAGGACAGGATTTTCAAGTTCTTTTCTGGGCTTCAGTTTCCTTATTTGGAAAATGTAGATAATAACTGCTTCACAAAGTCCATTTAGTATCAACTAAGATAATGTATGTGAAAATACCATGTAAATTATGAAAAATGTATACCTAATACATAAAACTCTTTGTGCTGCATAATTTTTAGAAATTACCTTGAGGGACTGAGTGCGGTGGCTCATGCAGGTAATTCCAACACTTCGGGAGGCAAAGGCTGGAGGATCCATTGAGCCTAGGAGTTCAAGATCTGCATGGGTTACATGGTGAGATCCTGTCTCTACAGAAAATTTAAAAGGAAAAAAGAAATTACCCGGAGGAAGTAAAGGCCTAATCACTATATAAATTCATGGTTTAAAATTAGCTTCGTTCCTGGCTCTATTTTATGTCTCTACCTTTTTTCCCTATGTATGACTCATAATATTTTGTTATATTTTCTATAAACCTATAATCTCTTTTAAATCCTCTTGGAAAAAATACAGGGTATAAATAAAAATCACATAAACCTCATTTAAAACATGTTCTTTAGCCCATAAAATCCAAACATTTTTCAAGAAAAGTTCCCTAGACAAAATAAGAGAAATAAACCTCTCTTCCATTAAATATAGTATACTTCCTGGGATTTTCCATTCAGTTTGATTTTCGGCTATTTTCAATCTCTCTCTTAGGATGTATTGTGATAACTCTGTCTCTCAGCCTTACATCATATGTGGTCTGAATGTCATAACTGTGGAATTTCAAAATTGTAACACTACATTCTTCAGTGTCTCCTAATCAAATTCTCCATGACATTTTCGAGTACAATGCTATGTTAGAAGTTTGCATTTGCTTCTCCCAACCAAACTTTCATGTTTGTATTTTCTCTGGTTTTAATTACTCTCAGGCTTTGGGAAGAGGGATAGGGTGGAGTGGAATGGGAGAAGGTGGTTGGGAATACTGTAATCTTGAGGTTTTGGCCTTCGTTTCCATGGTTCCTTAGCCAATCCTTCTGAAATGGTATGCAAAACTGATAGTGATGTATATATTTGCACATGTACACTTTTATGGGAGAGATTCTTCCATGACCCGAAAATAAGAACAATTGTGAAATGCCTTCCTTCAGCCCTCTCCAAATACCGTAACAGAACTAATTTTCCAGCAAATACTTAAACTCGTTACCAGTTTTTTGTTGTTGTTGTTTTGTTTCTTTGAGAAAAAAGTCTCACTCTGTCACACAGGCTAGAGTCCAGTGGTGCAGTTTCAGCTCACTGCAACCTCCACCTCCCGAGTTCAAGCAATTCTCATGCCTCAGCCTCCCAAGTAGCTGGGACTGTAGGCACACACCACCATACCCAAGTAATTTTTGTATTTTTAGTAGAGTTAGGGTTTTGCCATGTTAACCAGACTGGTCTTGAACTCCTGGCCTCAAGTGATCCACCTGCCTTGGCCTCCCAAAGTGCTGGGATTACAGGTGTGAACCAACACACCCAAACTCAGTACCAGTTTTGGAAGAAGAAATAATTAGATTCAAATCCTGACTTTACCACTCAACATCAGTTGAGTGATCTTGGATAGATTACTAAATGCTCTAAGCCTTAGTTTCCCCTCTGAGATGACATATATAAAATGTCGAGTACTATGTCAAGCACACAGAGGACACTTCTGAAACATTGAGGTTGTTTCCCCCTTTCTTTCCTCTCCTCCTTGTCGTCCTCCACCTTCAACCTGTTAATAAGAACTGTAGCTGTGAAGGAAATACATCTCTCCCTCTACCCCAGCTCACCCAACTGGCAATAACAAAAACCACAGGAGGCTGGGCGCAGCGGCTCACACCTGTAATCCCAGCGCTTTGGGAGGCCGAGATGGGTGCATCACCTGAAGTCAGGAGTTCGAGACCAGCCTGGCCAACATGGCGAAACCCCATCTCTACTAAAAATGCAAGAATTAGCTCAGTGTGGTGGCACGCACCTGTAGTCCCAGCTACTTGGGAGGCTGAGGCAGAAGAATCATCTGAACTCAGGAGGGGGCAGTTGCAGTGAGCCGAGATTGCACCACTGCACTCCAGCCTGGATGACAGAACAAGACTCAGTCTCCAAAAACAAACAGACAGACAAAAACCATAGGAGTTAAATGAGCCCAACAAGGACCCTGCCTTAAAGGAGATTAGAGTCTTCTTGTGCTAAGTCATAAATAGCTTTGGCCTGATGAAGGCTACAGAGAGTTGCTCTATTATTTTAGAGAGTACAATTTTTGGGGGGAAAATGAGGGTAGGTTTTGTAGAGGGAGAGTCTCTTAAGCTGGGTCTTCAAGGGCATTATCTTTTATAGCTATTGCCTTAGCCTAGTCATTCCAGGTGCTTCAACAACCCTCCTTATTGTGCTTTGTTTTTCTCATCTACTTGATATCCCATTTCTAGTCTAATTGGATAACATTCTTAGTAATATTTCTTGTTTTGCTTTTCCATTCATAACCTATTTCTGGTTAGCTTATTATTATCCCAATATTCATTGTTTCTGGTTCAATCATCTGGTTCCATGTTGAAGCCAGAAGTGACTGTTTTCTCTTTTCCATTCCGTTCTGCTCTTCCTTCAGAAAGCTACCTGAAGAGTCAAAAATTGGTGACAGCAAATTCACATCCTCAGTCAAAGTATGTGTAGGTAGGAGAAAAAAGTTTCTTTTATATGTAGGCTATTCTTTGTACCAATGGACTGATCATTAGTAATGGAAAGGACTGACATAAGTGTATGGAACAGAAACAATGAATATTGGGATAATAATAAGCTAATTTTATAAAATAGTGCATTGAAAATATAACTATATGGCCAGGCATGCTGGCTGACACCTGTAACCCCAGCGCTTTGGGAGGCTGAGGTGAGAGAATCACGTAAGCCCAGGAATTCAAGACTAGCCTGGGCAAAATAGTGAGACCCTGTCTGTATAAAAAATACGTATATTTTTTGAGATGAGGTTTCTGTCACTCAGGCTGAAATGCAGTGGTGCAATCATGCTCACTGCAACCTCAGCCTCCTGGGCTCAAGTGATCCTCCCATCTCAGCCTCATAAGTACCTGGGACAATAGGCACACACCACCACACCTGGCTAACTTTAAAAAAATTATTTGTATAGCTGGGCACGGTGGCTCACACCTGGTATAGCAGTAATTTGGGAGGCCGAGGCGGGTGGATCACTTGAGATCAAGAGTTCAAGACCAGCCTAGCTAACATGGTGAAATCCCATCTCTACTAAAAATAAAAAAATTAGCTGGGTGTGGTGGCATGTGCCTGTAATCCCAGCTACTTGGAAAGCTGAGGCAGGAGAATCGCTTGAAGTGGGAGGTGGAGGTTGCAGTGAGGCGAGATGGTGCCGCTACACTCCAGCCTCGGCGACAGGGCAAGACTCTGTCTCAAAAAAAAAAAAAAAATTATTTGTGCAGATGGGATTTTGCTGTATTGCTGAGGCTAGTCTCAAACTCCTGAACTCAAGTGGTCCTCCCACCTTGGCCTCCCAAAGTGCTGGGATTACAAGTGTAAGCCACTGTGCCTTAAAAATTGTTTTTAACTATTTAAAAAAATTACTATATAAGCTGAGCACAGTGGCTCATACCTGCATTCCCAGCTACTAGGGAGGCTAGGGTGGGAGAATCCCTTGAGCCTAGGAGTTTGAGGCTGCAGTAAGTGATGATTGTACCACTGCACTCCCACTGCACTTCAGCCTGGGCAATAGAGTGAGACCCCGTCTTAAAAAAAAAACACCATATAATATATATTGAATTAATAATTAATATAGAACTTAAAAGTGAATTAAAAACTAGAATAATACTCTTAAATTAATTATTTTTTCTAAATCCTAGAGATTTGCTTAGTGCATTCAACAGAGAAAATAGTCAGGAGAAAGGCTCCGTTTTGGATTCCAGAAAGTCTGAATTACAGTCTCTTCCTTGCCACTAACTAGCTGTCCTTGAGAAAGTCCTCTTCAAACTTTCATCATCTGTTCAAAAGAGATAATAATTCTGGTTACTTACATAATAGCATTTCTAGTAATAGATGTGAAGACACTCTGAAAAGTACATTATTGCTAGGAGAGAATATATATACCAAGTTGCAGGTGGATTATTTTCTACAAGTGAATCCAAGTATATTAAGAGAACAATTCCTACAGAACCAGTTAATATCAGTAGTATTTTATCACCTGCATTGTTGAATTTTTTTTGTTGTTGTTAGTGGAGACCAGATCTTGCAATGGTTTCAAACCCTACTCTTCATTTGTCTTTAATATGTCCTATGTTTTATGTTAAATAGTAGATGTTCTTTGCTTTGGAAAATTTGGGATTGGAATGGGAATGAGATATTGAAAATATACTTCACCTGATGCTAAAGAGAGAACTACTCATTACTCTTTGTTTTTTGTTTGTTTTGACTTTACTGCTTCTTGTGGAGCAGGGCTACCCCTTGCGCAATGTGCCCAGAGTAGTGGTACTTGTTACTCTTAGAGATGTCTCAATTAATTTTAACCTCTATCCCTAATTGGTGTTTAAATTTTGATAAAGAAAAATTCAATTTCTCTTTATTTTCCAAGAAATGGTAAGCTATCTTTGTCCCTATGGGAGATGTGGACAGAGAAAACTTTCTGTCTCTGATGTCTTTTGTGTGAGACAAGATCTTAGGAAATAAATAAGTGGTGCAGGGAATTGTGAGATTACATTTCACCCCCTTTTCTGTCTCCTCCCTCTTTTATATAATCTTTGTTTCTGCTTCTAACATTCTCATTATCAGAATTTCCAACATATGTAATAAGAGAGAGAAAAATTGCCACCACAGGATCAAATTTCATTTCTAATATGGAGAAAATAGGAGTCTAGTTTTCCAAATGTTTTTATTTTAAAAAAGAAAAGTTAAGCTATTAAAAGGATAAGTCTGTTCTCCAAAAAGTAAAATTATATCTTAGGACTCATATTTAAAAATCTGTAAGGTTAATTCAGGTTTGTGGCAAGAATAATTGCTATACTTCCACTGCTCTTTTAAATTTCCCAATTTATGGAATCTGGAGATCAATTCTCAGACACCTCTATAAATGTTCAGATTACGAGAAAATACTGCACAACCTTAAAACAACAATAAACATTTGATCTCTCACAATTTTTGTGCATCAGAAATCCAGCAGCAACTTACCTGGCTGATTCTGCGTTAAGGTCTCTCATATGTTGCACTTAATTTTTCAGCCAGGGCTGCAGTCATTTGAAGGCTTGACTGGGGCTGGAGGATTTTCATCCCAGATGACTCACTCACCCAGCTGTTGGCAGGAGACCTCAGTTCTTTGCCACACGGACTTCTTTGTAAGACTATGTGAGTATCCTCATGACAAGGCAGTTGATTTCTTCCAGAGAGGGTGATCTGACATAGAACAAGGCAAAAACCTCAATGTCTTTGTGTGACCTAGCCTCAGAAGTTGCATATCATCACTTCTGGTGTATTCTGTTAGTCCCACAGACCAGCTGTGATAAAATGTAGGAAGGGACTACACATGGGCATTTATGCCAGAGGCAAAGGTCATTGGGAGCCACCTTGGTAGCTGGCTGCCACAAACCTGAATAGATAAAGAAATAAAAACATAATCTAATATCATCTGAAGTCAGATACATTTTGAGTCAAATCACTTTCATGTAATCTATCTAAATACAATTTTATTATAAACAGATTAGCCTATAAAGAAGTTTGTTGTGATTTTGGTTTTATATACTACTAGAAATATTGTATTGTATTTTATTTTTTTTGAGATGGAGTCCCACTGTGTCACTCAGTCTGGAGTACAGTGGTGCAATCTTGGCTCACTGTAACCTCTGCCTCCCAGGTTCAAGCGATTCTCCTGCCTCAGCCCCACTGGTAGCTGGGATTACAGGCAAGTGCCACTACGCTGGCTAATCTTTTCGTATTTTTAGTAGAGATGGGGTGTCACCATGTTGGCCAGGCTGGTCTCAAACTCCTGACCTCAAGTGATCTGCCTGCCTCAGACTCCCAAAGTGCTGGAATTACAGGCATGAGCCACTATGCCCAGCCTGCTAAGAATATTTTAGATAAGGAACTGAAAAATAATTATTTTAGGCTAGTGCTGTGGCTCAAGCCTGTAATCCCAGCTACACAGGAGGACTGCTGGAGGCCAGGAATCCCAGACCAGCCTGAGCAACATAGCAAGACCCCATCTATAAAAAAATAAAAATAAATTAGCCAGGCACAGCGGCATGTAGCCTTAGCTACTTGGAAGGATCACCTGAGCCCAGGGGTTTGAGGCTACAGTGAGCTATGATTGTGTCACTGCATTGTAGCTGGGGTGACAGAGACCCTGTCTCTAAACAACAACAGCAACAATAATTGTGTAGTCATTAGCAAGCAATGAGTTTCTGATTAAAAAAAGAAAAAAATAATTGTGTAGTCAGAAAAGGAAGATAAAGCATATTTTTTTCAGTTTTTTAAAAAAGTTACATGCAAAGCAATTGTTTTGAGGCTAGAATACAAAGACAAAGTAGCTCCTAAAAAGGATTTTTTTTAAGAATAAATGCTGTTTGTTTCCATTCCACGTCCTTAGGGATTCATGTGAACAACAGAGTAAACCATTTGTTTATACTTTTTCGTGAACTTTGAATCATTTTTTAGAAACTGAATGTTTTCCTGCCTGTGAAAACTCTTATATCCAAATACTATAGCAGCTATTATTATTATGAATAACATTGTATATTGTGCAGCATTTTGCATTTTAAGTTTCAGGCTAACAAAATTTACACTAAATGGGGGTGGTAGGAAGCACTGCCTCTAGCTAAGCAAGTTTAAGGTATAAACCAGGAGGGAAGCTTCACTATCATTTGATTCCCCAAAAGTACCTTTTCTGATACTACAGTTTAGTAATCTTTGTTACAAGAACTGCAGGCTTATGTAATTTTGAAACCTTATCTTGCAGTTTTTATTACCAGACTTACTGAAGAACATTTTTTGCTCTTAGTAAATGGGCATTTTAATTTTCTTGATACTGTATCTGATACAAATTATAATACGAAAGTGTCTGTTTGAAAGAGTGGAGTATGCAGCATCGATACACTATACTTTTTGTTGATTTTTCCATTAGAAAAATCAATTATAGACAAAAACCTCTTTAGAACTAGATCCTTCTTCCTCTCTTTGAATTAACTGCATGCATTTCTGAAAGGTTCTTCTTTCACTTCACCTCAAAAGACACTGAATCCAAACACCAGTGGTGAGATTGTCTGATCTGAACTCTGAGATAAGCTATTTTGCTTTTAAAAAACAAAAACCAGACAGGTTATTGAATTACTAATTGAAATACAAAAACTGAATTACTTACCTTTTCTTTCTTAGAAATAAGCAGAGATGAAGAAGTATACATGTAACATGTTTTATTATAAATGACCCAGTAGATAGGAAATTGAAAGTGGACTCAGTTTACAGGGATCCTTCAAGTAGTGTTAATTCACTCAAGAAAAATGTAAAGTTACTTAAGTAAATAACAATGTAATGATTTATTTAATGTAATCATATGAGAAAGAATATTTGAGACCTGTCATTCAGATGCCAGGCCCTCTGCCAAGTGCTATGGATAAAGAGAGAGGTAGACTTACCATGAACCTAATGAAGCTTAATTTCAGGGCCCCTAATTTGCAGGAACATCTTTTAATACAAATGTGTTCACATGATCAATTTTCTGTTTTTGCAAATAAAAAGTCACAAAAGTAAGATATTTAAACCTTAATCAGTGAATTCTATTGTCTCTCTTTAGTCTTCACTTCCATCTATGACACTTTCCCTTGTATTGAGAGGTGTTAGAGAACATCCACAGGTTTTGTTTTTTTTTTTTTTTTTTTTTGGTACTGATTAAGGAAGAGTATTGTTGAAGATACATTTAGTTTTGTAAGATATATTAATTTGATCACTTACATGTGTAGTTGAATTATTGCAAAGAGTTATCCAGTATAGAAATGGCTTCCAGAGATACTGCAGTCTCTACTGTGCTGATTCACACTGCATCATATGATACAGAGGTTGTATCTTAATATTAGCATGTTCTACTGGATTTGCTTTTTGTTACTAAATTACTAAATAACCTTAGAGGCTAAAGACAATACAGCATTGTGAGATAATAAGGGAGTGTTGCCTTTAGCCTCTAGGGTTGTGGTAAATCTGGGCATGGTGTCACTGGAGTCTCTACTCAGGATCTCGTAAGACTAAACTCAAGGTGTTGGCTTGGTTGCATCCTCTTCTGGCACTCAGAGTTCCTTTCCAGGCTCACATAGTGTGGCCAGATTCATCTCCTTGCAGTCATTATTTCCTTGTTGGTTCTTACCTGGGAGTTGCTCTCAGCAACTAGAAGCCACTTGAACAACTTACCACATGACCTACTGTATTTCCAGAGCTGGCAATAGAGAATCTCCCTCAATTTTAATCCTTCATTCTTTGAATCTCTTTCTCAGGAAGGGTAGTGTTCCCTTTAAGGACTCAGCTGATAGATCTGGCCCACCTAGGATCATCTTTCTATCTTAAAGTCAACTGATTTTCATTATTCACATCTACAAAATCTCTTCACAGCAGCACCTAAATTACTGTTTCAACAACTGGAAAAAGATATGTGTATGCCAGGGCGCAAAAATCTTGGGAGTCATCTTATATTTCTACCTACCACACCTGCTGTGCCCAGCATTGAAAGTATATGGGTTAATGAGTTTTACTTATTATAAAGCTTTTCAACTCAGAATGTGTATTTTCAAAGACTTGGAAGAACATTCAAACATAAAGAAAATGAAAACATTTTCCAAAAGCTCACACAGCTAGAATACACCATTTTAGCGGCAATGTTTCTATTGAAACTAGTAAGAATTTATAGACTCCTGATTTATTTATTAAAAACCTTGATGTGTTTATTTATTAGAACCAAGAGTTCATAAGAAGTTAACAGCATGTGCAATGAAAGCAATAAAGATGAATGATAAAATGAATTAAAGCTAGGTACAGTGGTGCATCTTGCTTGTAATCCCAGCACTTAGGGAAGCTGAGGTGGGAGGACTGCTTGAGCCCAGGAGTTTGAAATCAGCCTTGGCAACAGTGAGAACTTGTCTCTACAATAATAATAACAAAAAAAAGTTAGCAGGCCACTGTGGCATGTGCTTGTAGTCCCAGCAACTTGGGAAGCTGTGGTGGCAGGATTGCTTGAGCCCAGGAGACTGAGACTGGCTGCAGTGAACCATGTTCCTGCCACTTCACTTCAGCCTGGGTGACAGAGCAAGACCTTGTCTAAAAAAAAAAAAAAAAAGACTCAGTGCCTTTCTTGAACTCAGAAGAAAGGGGCCTCTGCCCTGAACCCTGCATTTTAGAGTACCTTGCCCATCACAAATGTCAAAGCACAAAGATATTTGTTTTTCTTTTTGACCTCATGGTTGCAGGAAGCTGGCTGAGAACAGGAGAAAATGGCTTGGAGGAGAAAAAGCTGTTTCAAGTTGGCCACCCCAAATCACCTAGATGGGTGTCCAGGCAAATCAGGGCCCCTAGACACTTGCTCTTCTTTTCCTCTTCTGCTTGGCTGATGTTGTTTTGAGAGGTGAACTTCTAGGAGGGCCAGAATTTTTTGTGTGTGTGAAACAAGAGAAAGAGTATCTGCTTAATCTAGCTCCCCGAGGAACTTAATCAAGTCACTCCTGTTCTGGCATTTGGGTGGGTCCAGGCAGCACCCAAGAGTCCAGGACATCACCAGTTCCAGCTCAGTGACAGACTTTGTATGGAAGAACTGGGAAGGAGAAAAAAGTAAGCATGATTTCTGTATATTTTGCCTGATGAACAAAGTAATGCAATTAATTGAGGTAGGAGAAGATCAGGTATATGGGAAAAAGGAGAGTGAAGCAAAGATTCTGTTTTGGACATGTTGAATTTTGATGCCAGTAGGCTTCTAAGTGATCTCGGATGAGCAATTGGACATTTGAATATGGAGCTTGGGGGAGTGGCCTGAGATTGAGATAGAAATACTGCATAGCTGGTATAATTGTGGGGGCCAAATGTTTTTTCAAGTATTTGCTAGACATTTGTAGTTCCTCTATTGTAGATTACATGCTTGTGTCCTTTACCTATATATCTACTGAATCTCTCACAGTTATTCTTAAAATTTCCTAAAAGTTTAATGCAATAAAAAATGTTTAACAAACTACCTTAAATCATCTAATTTTTACAGCAAGCCTGGTACAGGTTTTTAAATTTTTGACTAATGAGAGTTGTGACCTCCACAGACAAATTTTAAAATCGTCAGCATATAACAAATAAGAAAAACATATTTGTCGTCCACAAGGAAATGATGTATGCTTTATGTTCACAAAGCAAGGATATATTGTGTCTCCCAAGGGAGCTCACAGGCTGCTATGTATAGTAAATCAGGCTTAGAAACCTGATTTCTCTGTATATCAGGAGTGAATCCATCTTTCAGGAATGGACTTACATTAACCTAGTTTATGAGTCTGATTTTTAAAAGCAGAAGGTCAAATTGCGATGCAAAATCATTGTCCCAGCGACAGGGATATTTTAAATTTGTGCAACTAGCTTTTTGTTATCCTGGACAATAATGTCTATGGAATATTTAATGACCTTAAGCTAAGAGAACGTGAGTCACCCATCTCACGTTAGGGATGATCTTTCTAGGGAAAAACATCAATCAGCTCATTCACTCTCTTGCTTCATCAGCCCTAACCACACCCTGTTGTCTCACTCTGAACAGCGCCATTTATCTCTTTGGCCTCTACAGGCATTTATAACCCTGGCCCTAATGGCTTTGCCCAAGTAGCAAATACTTTGATGAATGAAAAACTCCCATGAATCATGTTTAAAACAAGTTTTTTTGTGGTTGAAGTTCTTGAGATCTAAACCATGAGTCATGTTTTAATAGCAAATACTGCTTTTTATCTCTGAGACCTTCCTTTTTTCAGGGTTTAAGGCTGACTAGCCCACTCGTGATGACAGTCATTTTAGATAATTTAACAAATTCAATCAAATTACTATCCAGTTCTGGCCCTGAGATCCAATCTGGATCTTCAGGTCACTCCCATCATTTTATTTTGCAGTATATTAAGCCTCCAGCTTCATTAATTACTGACCATGTGACCTGGCCATGCCGCTGATTCCATGTGTATTTCAGTTTCTTAATCTGTAAAACGGGAAAAAGAATATCAAAAGTGATAGGATTACTGTGCAGTGCTGAGGTTGTGGGAAGCACATGGCTCATTCCATGTGGCAGGGAAATCCCCTTCACGGGGCAGCTCACCAATTGCTCGGTAAGTTCCTGAACCCATCATTGGCAGGAGGCACGGCATTCTGTTTCAACTGGCCATTCCCAGGCTGAGCACTGCCATACAAGTGTATGCTGGGCATTTTGAGTTGTTAGAATGATGGCAAGTGGAGGTCAGGGATGCTAAACATCGTAAGATGCACCTGAGAGCCCGGCAGAGCAAAGAACTGGTCAGCCCCAAGTGCTAGTTGCACCTGCTGCTAAGAAATACTACTGGAGGGCCAGGCATGGTGGCTCATGCCTGCAATCCTGGCACTTTGGGAGGCCGAGGCGGGCAGAGTGCTCGAGCTCAGGAGTTTGAGACCAGCTTGGGCAACATGGTGAAACCCCGTCTCTACAAAAAAATTCAAAAGTTAGTTGGGCATGGTGGCATGCGCCTGTAGTCTCAGCTATTCGGGAGGCTAAAGCATGAGAATTGCTTGAAACTGGGAGACTGAGATCATACCACTGCACTCCATCCTGGGCGACAGAGAGAGACTGTCTGAAAAAAAAAAAAAATGACTGCTGTAGGCAAGAGAGTCACCCTTGAAGCTCACTGGCTGCATGGGAGGATATGGGTGTTGAAAAACGTCTAGAAGAAAGTGGGAAGTAGGAGCAGGGAAGGCAACCAACAACAGCTATTATAGATGCAGATTTTGGAGGCAGACAGCCTGGGATTTAAAACTTTGCTCTACTACTTTTGAGCTGTGTGATCAAACTAATGAAACTTTAAAAGCCTTACTTTCTTTGGTAAGTAAAAAATGAAAAATAATACCTGCCCTTTAGATTGCCGAGAAGATTAATGAAAGAATGTATGAGTCTGTCAAATGTCCTGGTCCACAGAAGGGGCTCAATGTCTGCATTCCCTTTGTTCCTGCATTCCCTTTGTTCCTGCTAGGATGTGCATTAGTTTATAGTGCAGCCACTTGATAGCATCTGAAGGGATCAGTACCTTGCTATTTCCAACAAATGTGTTTTGAGGTGCTAATATCTTCTAATGAGGGTGTGAGCTGTCATTTAAACCATTAGATTAGGAATATTGCAGATGGTCCCAGCACAATGTGATATGTCACAGATGGCTCATAATAGCTAGTCTGTATTAATAAGCAAGACTAGACATATCAGTTTTAGCTCTGGGTTTTTGTTTCCTTCTTAAGTATACTATTGTTGTATAAAATAAATGTATGCACACGTTTGCTTCTCTCTTTCTCTCTCTACACACACACACACACACACACACATATATTTTTTTTTCCTTATATAGACGGAGACTCATTATGTTGCCCAGGCTGGTCTCAAACTCCTGGGCACAAGTGATCCTCCCGCCTTGGCCTCCTTCCTAAAGTGCTTACAGGTATAAGCCACCATGTCTGGCCTGTTTTATAATTAGGCAAAAATGCATAAGAAAATGATCTCCATTCTGTTTTTTAGGCTGGGTATGGTGGCTCTCACCTATAATCCCAGCACTTTGGGAGGCCGAGGTGGGTGGATTGCTTGAGATCAGGAATTCAAGACCAGCCTGACCAACATGGCGAAACCCTATCTCTACTAAAAATACAAAAATTAGCTGGGCGTGGTGGTGGGTGCCTGTAATCCCAGCTACTCAGGAGGCTGAGGCAGGAGAATCACTTGAACCCAGGAGGCAGAGATTGCAGTGAGCCAAGATCATGCCACTGTGCTCCAGCCTGGATGACAGAGCAAGATTCTGTCTCAAAAAACAAACAAACAGAAGAAAAGAAAATGAATAATCTCCATTCTGTTTTTTAGTGCAGGCCATTATGGACACTGTTCTCTGTTTGGAAGTTAACTCATACTTTTATTTCTTCCAGATTCTATGTAAATTATTGATTCCTCTGGAAAAGCCTCCTTGATTTTCCAGATTAAATAGGTCTTTTGTTTTTGTTCTTATAGTCTTGCATTTTTGTTGTTTATTGCTACTTTATAAATCACTCCAAAATCCTGTGGTTTAAATACTAACAGGATATCATTTCTCATAATTCTTTTGGTTGATGTATTGGTCTGTTCTCACACTGCTATAAAGAACTACCTGATACTGGGTAATTAATAAAGAAAAGAGGTTTAATTGGCTCGTAGTTCCACAAGCTGTACAGGAAGCATGGCTGGGGAGGCCTCAGGAAACTTACAATCATGACAGAGGCGAACGGGAAGCAGGAACAATCTTCACATTGTGAAGCAGGATAGAGAAAGTGAAGGGGAAGGTGCTCCACACCATTAAACAACCAGATCTTGTAAGAACTCACTCACTCTCACGAGAACAGCAAGAGGGAAATTTGTCCCCATGATCCAATCACACTCCACCAGGTCTCTTCCCCAACATTGCAGATCTCAGATGGAGAGATTTGGGTGGGGACACAGCTTCAAACAATATCAGTTGACCAGGTGATTCTGCTTCACGGAGTGTTGTGTCAGCTGAGGTACTGAGATAGGTGCAAGGTCCCAACGCTGGTATATTGTGCTGGCCACCTACTGGGAGCTCAGCAGGGGTTTTTGGCCAGGCTCCTTGGTTAACTCTTACATGGACATCTTTATGTGGCTACTTGGCTTCTTCACAGACTGGCAACTGGATTCTAAGAAAGTGCATTCCAAGAGGCCTCATCCCATGTGCAAGTGCATCAAACTTCTGCTTACACTATGTTTGTAATGTCCCAATGGTGAAAGTTAATTGTATGGCCCAACACCAGGACATGGGGGCTACGACGTACGGCGGAGTCAAAGGAATGAGAAAAGACAGGTTAAGAGTACATAAGGTGGGTCCAGGGGGCCAACGCTGGTATGGAGGCTGTGAAGGCCCCCAGCTCTGGGATCCCACACTATTTATTGGTGATCAAACAAAGAAGCAGGTGGTGTGGACGTGTGGATGTGGAGGTAAACAGGTGAGGGTGTGAGTATGTGAGGGTAGAAAGGTAGCAGTGCATCAAGCATAGCTGTGACAGTTTAGCATTTTCTTTGATGCACATAGAATATGTTCTGCGGCTTGAAATAATAGAGAACATGTTTATGAGTCTGGGAGAGCAACCAACAAGTCTGTGTACATTCCAGAGGCCATGAGGGGTTTTATGCCCTGAGCTCTGAATTCCATCCAAGTCATGAGGGATTTTATGCCCTAGGCTTAGATTTGTGGTGCGGCAGGGCAGGCTTCCACCCTTTGGCACAGAGCTTGGTGTTCCAAAGGCCATGAGGGGTTTTAGACCCTGGACCTGAGGGGTTTTAGACCCTGGACCCTGGACATCTTCCAAGACTCTTTTATATTATGACAGACAAGCCAGTCCTGCCTCAGCTCTTCTACCAACATGTCTTCCTTTTCTTTTTTTGCAAAACCGCCACAGCTATCTTTGCTTGTTCTCGGTGGCAGCTTTCTCTCCAGAGGTGGCTTCCGCATCTGCAGACTATATAAAGACAAACAACACAGATTAAAAACACAATCATTATTGAAATCACAGAGCCTCCAAGTGTCTTGATCCATTTTAGCGGGTTAGTAGCTGCTAATCCATCTGCAGCTCCTTCAAGCACTTCAGTTCCTGGCATTGGTGTCAGATGTGCCTGAGAGGCTTGAAATACTTGTTCCTTCAATTTTGCAATATCCAAAGATAAATTTCCAGTATGACCTTTTAAATGTCTCTGTACTTTTTCCCACTCATGCTGTTTTATTATACAGATGAGGAGTCATGTAAAAATTAGAGGTATTTCAATCACATTGCATTTGAATTTTACTTTTTAAATTTATGATTTCCCATTCAAATCACTGTCTGACAGAGGTCATTAATTTGGTTAACTATTTTTTTTAATTATTTGAGTTTGAGAGTTCCATGGTTTTGTGGAATTCTTTTGTCACTTATTGACAAATTTAACAGTTTGTACAAATGAATGTAGAGCCACGCCAGCTACTGCAGTAGTAGTAGTAACAGCAATGAGCCAATTATAGCAACTATGAGAGCAACTATAAATCTTTTTGAATGGGATAAAAGTTTTTTAAGAATTTCAGTTACTATATGAATGGATGGAGATGCCTCCTACAGTCTATTTAAAGACATAGGGATTCAGATTCCTTCGCTGGCTTTAATTAGGATAGTCTGATTTTTATTAAAAGTTGAATTAATGCATGTAAAAAATGACATAAATGACATTCAGGGCATGAAATAAAGTGTGTATTTATATCAAGAGTAACATTTCCTACTGCTAGCACAAAAGGTGACTGGACACAACTTTGAATCCAAAAAGTCTTGTTAGAAAGAAAAGAAAGAGCATATTTATTTTTACCTCCCTCCCCTTTATACTTGTTATATTTACCCTATCAAATTTTGATTGAACTTTGAGCCATGGCTAATTTCCATAATTCAGAATGTTCGTGTTCTATGGCAGGAGATACTATTTTTGGACTAGGGGTGACAATGCCAGTAGGACTCCATGTGATAGGGACCTCAGCTTTTGTCTGAATATATTGTGTATGATTTAATTGCCAGTGGTTCCACTGGCTTATTACATTTGTTCTATAAGAAGGTCTTCTGGTGCAATTTTTTTAAAGATCCCTTTAGAAGACTAATTAATGATGATTCCATAGGAATTATTTTGTAGCACTTCAGCCTTACTTGCTATACAATCTTCCCAAGCTCAGGTATCCACACCTTTAAACTAAACTCTATTTTGTTTATATTTGAACTTATTCAGATGGAACTACAGAGTTTTAGGATGGGAATGATTATATTTTAAACTATGCCCCAAAAATCATATGCAAAGCAACCCATGATTTATTTTTTTGGGGACTACTGCCAACCGGGCCTGTGTGTCAATCTGTAAACATCCAACAGCAGGTCCCAGGCATACTGGGGGATATTTATATTCTGTGGATATATTTATTATTATCCCTTCCTCATTAGGATGCATTGGCCCTCGGTTATCTATGGGCATAGGCATCCAGGTACTGACGTTGGTGTACACCTCAATAACAGGATCCATCCAACTCACAGACCTAATTAAAGGAGGAAATGGGGAAATGGGACATATGCCCAATAAGTGGAATTCTGAGTTGCTCCTATAGTAAGAAGGCTTGCTGCCACAGTGAGTACTGCCAGCATGGCCACCATCAGGTTACTCGTTGTTTTTAGTTTGTTCTGTGCTTTCAAGTTGTCCTTTGCCATCTGCGCCAACTTCTTGATTTATCCCCATGTCGGACAATTTGCCTGACGACTATTCTTGGTTTTCTCCTTTGTCTCTGAGATGTTTATTTGCT